CTATTATTGTTATTTTTTTACTTTTATTTTTTTTTTTTTTTTTTTTTTTTTTTTTTTTTTTTTTTTTTTTTTTTTTTCCCCCGTCGTTCGATCGGTCATTCTAGCTCGAACTTCTTGGATCTTCGCGTTCAAATTGTTTTTTTTTTTCGAGCGGAATTCTTCATGGGATCCCAAAATGAAACAGCGTCATGTCAGTTCGTTTAATTCTTATCGTCTTTTTCGCGGTTAAACGTTTAATTATCATTTAATTACCTGGTCGCTTACGCCCTAAAGAAGATTCGCTTGTTTTTTTTCTTATTCTTACGTATTTCTTTTTTTTTTTTAAACTTTTCTTTTCTTTTTTTTTTTTTTTTCCCTTTTTCGTTTATAGGTTAATTTCTCAGCTTAATATCTAGTCGTGTACTCGTAGCCTTACGTAAATTATTCTTAATGATCTAAGCTTGGTGGCCAGCACCAAAAACACTCACTAGATTCACTGCCTACGGGACACAGATACGGGTTTCGCCTCTTTCTCGAGCAACTCGCGCGCGTCGGCCATTTCGTTTCGCTTATAGGGAACCATTTTCTTATCTTTTCGTCGAGTCGAATACGCTTCTCTTCTTTGGAGAGTCGTCTCATCTGATATCTCTTTCTCTCTCTCTTTTTTTTTCTTTTTATTCTTATTCATCAGTTAATACATAAAAAAGGAAAATAAAAAGCATCGTAGAAAACGCAAGATCCGGAATTTACAAAGAATATATATTAGGGTGAATTTCGATGAATGTGCTTCGAGAAAGAGCGCGACGAAGAATCGACGCTCGATTATCGAGACGACGAGATTTTTTCCGACTAATGCTCGAGCGTCGATCCTTAAATTTGAGCGATTCACAGACATCCAAGCGAGAGAGTACTTCGTTACTTCATTTTGTCTCGATTCTTTTTTTTTTTTCTTTTTTTAACTATTTTCTCAGTATTTTTTTCAGTTTTGTTCCTTTTTGGTTCATAGTCTCGTTTCTTCGACACATCGAACTGCAAGAACCTAACTATAATTAATTCTCCACCTCATTTAGCTCCCTAAAATAATCTACCATCGCTAGAAAGCCAGAACGCGCGATGATTTCTCGCTGTTTGCTCGCGTCGTGTTTTTTTTTTTTTGATGATGATATACGCATATATCATCTTTCTTAAATTCTTTGTTTATTCAGGATGAAGAAGAAAAATTCGAAGTTCGATCCTTCTGTTCGTTACCCGAACGACGTAGTGACTAACATTACTCTTTGGTTAAAAACGATCGCGTATATATATGTGTGTGTCTGTGTGTGTGTGTGTGTGTAATGCGTGTGTTTGTGTCCATGTGTTTGTGTGGTATGAATGCGAAAACAAAGCTTGAGAACCTACCGTAATTTTAATATAAACTCAAAAGGAAAGGCCAGCCTTCTAATATTCTAAAATTAACCATTCATCCGCTCAGTGGCGTCATCTATCACGTTCATCAATATTTACAAACGCGATTCCTCCCAATTTTTCATCCTTCTGTTATAACATCCTCTACAACAAGCTCTAGTCAGCGAGCATGATTACGAAAGTCTTACGTATTAGGGATAGGCTTAGTTCTAGACGATATTAGGTAGTTGTCAAGATGCAATCATCGGAGAACCAAGGATGAACGTAGAAAGCGCGACGACTATTATTACTCTAGCGGTCTTCTTCTTCGGCATCTAACCCCTGACCCTCTTCATCGATCACTCTTAATCATCCCTCTTCCACTTCGTGTCTTCTTTCTTGATCGCACAGCATTTTGGAGACGACGAGGAAAAGACGATCCGGCTTGAACAAATTTTTCTTTTTTTTTCTTTTTTCTTTTTTTTTTTTTTGAGACATGTTTTCGACGTAGAAATTCGGCCAATCATTGGATCAACCGAGGGTCAGCTGGCTGCGCAAAAGATCCTCCGAATCGTTGAAATATTACGGCCTGGGCCGCTTGTACCGTGTAATTGATATGTCAAGATAAGATCCTATCACTGAGGCGAGATGAGAGACTTTCCTGCGTTTTTCTTCTTTCTTTCTTTCTTTTTTTTTTTTTTTCTCTTTTTTTTTTCCCCTCGAGTCGCATTTTCACACTTTCTCATTCTATATTATAGTAATTTAAGGAAGACCGTGCAAAGACGATCATCTTTACAGGTCCGCCTGGGTAATATACAGGTACTTGGTGAAGAGATTCGTGCCCTCCATTCGAGCCAGGGACGCGCCAATCTGGGGGCGATCGAACGACAACAAGTGGGTGGGAGAGAAGCGACAATGGTAACAACGACGATGCTCCTTTCACTGTCCGTCGAGGATGGTCCATTGCAGACGCTATCGTTACGCCTCGAACCAGCCGAGACGCAGCGATTAAATAATCGCCGCTCGTTGCTGAGGCCCGCGTCAGCTTTGGAGCGAACGATCGCGTCAATGGGCAGCCCTTCTTCTTCTGGACTTTCTCCTCCGAGCTGATTTTCCGCTTGTTGATGAAAACGCGTCAGAAAAGACCTTCCCATTTATTCCAGGTCTGAACTAGCGGCGACTAGACGTTCCATTCAGTTACATTTCTGTTTGACTGGCTGACTCCTTCATCACTCTCTTTTTCCGTCCTTCGTTCCGAGACGAGACATCTTCCACCGTTCCGGGGAGTGGAGCTTGGCCAAAAGGTCAATAGGTCGACACAAAGAGACCTGGCCAGCGGCAGCGAATTAACTGTCACTGACGCACACGCCACCAGGTCTGCTGCACCTTCTCGTGGAGCTTTCTGCAAATACCCGCGAGCCTCCGTCACATCCCAGCCTCTGCTGCGTTCTCATCCGTCTCACCGCCCCCTTCCTCGCTTGGTAGGATCGTTCTCGCCGCTCCACCCGTATCCCCGATTTCCGTCGTTTCACCTGTCTCGTCGCCTTCTTCCAGTGTCACCTGGAACAACGATTAATCACGGTTAGACTTACGATGACGATGATGGAATGATGATGGATCGATCAGATTCCAAGAAGAATCGAGGCTAAACATTCGTAAGGAATGAAAATGGGGAGGGAGGGGGGGGGTGGGAGGGGAGAATTCGCAAAATAATTCTTACCTGGAAGTGTATTCTATCAGATTGCTGCTCGTTCCCTTGCTGCTGTTGCTGTTGATCATCAGACGGTGGCGACGGAGGAATCATAGATTGATACCAGTCTCGATTCTCCTCTAACGTATCTAGGATATCCTGAGCGTCTGGGTGTACCAGGTCAGCCCAGGTTTCCCAGAGAGGATGTACGATATAATCTATGAAGCCGACCTGCGACTTCTCGATAGTGGCGCTGTGCCTGTCACACATGGGGCTTATATCCATGTTCTGCTCCCGTTCCCGATCTCCTTGAAGGAAGAATTCCTCCATCAACAGACCCACCCATCGTCGATAGAGTGGCAAAGGTTTCGTAGGATTGGACAGGTCGGCGCAGTGCACCAGGTTCTCCAGGACCTGAATTCGGTCGGTGTAATTGTCTAACAAAAGCACGCCAGAACCAGCCACCTTCTTCGTTTCCACCATAGTCTTGAGGTCGGCCAACAGAGACATGTGCTTAGACATATCTGTAGATAGGACCATGTCGATGACCATCTTCCTAAGTGTCTGGCGTTGCTTCTTCGTCATGTTGACGAAAATGTCGCAGCCTTCATTCTGAAGTAACTTAAACGCCACTGCCAGGTGGTGGTTCTCCAGAACAGACTCGTCATTGTACATTAGGGCGAGCTCGGAGCCTAGAAGGAGTCAGAAATCATTAAAATCATTTTTTTTTTCGACTCTTATTTGTCAATCTGTCGTCAACGAGTCGCATCGAATAATTATTACGAATTATCTACGAGGTGTCGCGAAAGAAATACTCACTCGAATTTATAAGGAACTGGTTGGTGAGTCCGGGATGGTCCACGTCGTGAATGGTGGCTGCAAATAGAGCGGCTGTGATTTCCAACGGCGTGAACACAGACTGCAACCACAGAAACGTTTCAATTAATCCACCAGTCGACATTGATCGAACATCAATCCAAGTTCAGAAGTTATTAATTAATATGAAACTTGGACGAGCCGAGGCATTAATAGATCAACTAAATACACCATTTACTCTCTCAGCATCGAAATGATCTTTGATTAGAATTTTTTTCTGATACAGGAGAGTTGTAAGTGCATCTTTATTTATGGATACTTTATCAACGATAAATGATGATATTAACCTCGAGCGCGGGTGTGTTGAGCAGAGTGTGGGTAGATTGGGTCACATCGGCGGCATGCAGGCTATTGTGGAAGGGATTGTCTTTGACGTAGTGATCCTCGAGGGTCATCATGAAGGTCACAAAGGTCTTGGGTGGTATGGCCAGCGATTTGAGCAAATCCCGGGTCTGAAAGGCTGTGTAGGCGACGCAGGTCAGCGGTCTGTTGTTGCTTAATTCGCCTATCCTGAAGATATCGATGCCCCATTTGTCGATGTCTGAGAGAAGCTATAAATATCACAAATTAAGGTCAGTTCGTAGTGATTAATTTTTTTTCTTCTTCTCTTTTTGTATACAATCATCGTGGAACGGACGGTATAAAAAAGATTTCTGTATAAAATGAGATTTCTAATCTAATCTAATCTCTTTTTTTTTTTAATCTTTTAATTCTATTATTATTTAATCTTAATCTCTGATTTATTAAAAATATTTATTTGTGTGATTTGTTATCTCGCACACACGCACACACACGAACATTCCGATTTGTTCAGTTGATATCGAAAACAAATTATCTTCTAGAGAAATGTAAATTGTCTGTTCATTTTCTCGAACAATTGATCCCTCAGGCAACACTTTTTCGAAGATTAAATTGAAAAAATCAATTAGCACTGACTCGCGGTTTTTGGAGTTTACGTTAATATCATTTAACGTTCCAATTCGTGTCCGATCTCAAATATTACCACGATAATAAAGTGTGTAATTACTACCGACTTACCTAACTTTGTAATTTGCATCAACGATGAGCGTCAAAATAAATTTCCCTCCCCCCCCCCCTCCCCCTCTTCCAAAACATTCCAAATTTCGAGTTGTTTATTACAATTACAAAGTAAAATATCAAGAAATTTATCAAGATCCGGTGGAATCAAGCAATCAGGATTAATTTAAACATTCGACCCCCGTTTAGCTAAAACAAACAAACCATTGGCCACTGTGTCGCGGGCTAAATAAGGAGTTGGCAGCCGATTTAGCGATTCCGAATCAGTACGCGTGGGCTCGGGGACGATTCTAAGACCTTCGAGAGGCGTGTTCCACCTTAGGCGCGTTTAACTTGCCGGCTGCATCGGACGAGGAAGCGCCTTTATTAGCATACAAAAGCGGTATAGACGCTGATCATGTGAAAGTTATATTTATTCTCTGTACGAGGAAACGGGGAATTTGAATCGATTATGCGCGATGACACACGAAATTCTATTGTAAAAATAAATTTGCGATTGAAATTTGACCGTTTGATTTTGACGCGAGCGTGGAACAGTTAGGGGAAATCGATTGAACAATCGATCGAATCCACGGATAAAAGAATAAAATGTTTAATGCATAAGTGGATGTGAAACCATGACCGATAGAGTTAATTATTTAAATTCGAACGATTCTTTCATCCGTTTAAAGATTAAAAATAGAAGGCGTTTAAAATTACGTAGCAACGAATACAATGATATTGTTGATACTTCGGAATTAGAAATTTCGTTTAGAAAGAATACAGAAAAGTGAATTCCGAATCGGTTTGAAAATAAGCTGGGGCCTGTAGGGTAAATAAATCGGGGTATTCGATGGCACGGTTTTACTTGGAATCGAAACTCTTAAAATCTGAAACAAGACGCAGATCGGACAGAACCCCTCAACGATTCTCGAAAAATTAAAATTGGAGGAGCGCGTAAAATTTTTTATCGAAAATTTTTAAACAGAAAATTTTTACGTCATCGGTAGGAACAATAAAATTCCTTCGAATTTCCATTCGAATCCATTTCCGATGATTCGATTTCTTTGCTACAACTATAATATCGAGGCGAAAAAAAGAAAAAAAAAAAAAAAATTAATGGCAACGATAAGAAATTCTGGAATTGGGTTATCGGTTGGCTAAACCGACGTCCTCGTCCCGAATTTTTCGTCAACGTATGCGTATGAACACAGGTCGTAAACAGAAGGCGCTATTGGCCTTTCGAACGATCGATGTCTATTATCAGTTTCACGGTGGATCACGTACATTTAACGATGCCGGCGCAAATAGACTTTTCGCTCGAGCAGAAGAATGGGGGGGTATAGACCGATTTTACGACTTTCCGCAAATTTTTATCTCTTTTCTTCAGCATCGCCGAGAATTCGCTACGATAAGAATAAAATTATGCATTAAAAGAATTTCAATCAAAATTTCAATTCGTCACTTGGAAAAGTTCCATCCATGTTTACCGTGGACATTTACCGATCTACGACCAATGTTTATCCTGATTTATAACGCAAATCGAGGCAGAAAATACGAGGAAGATTGAAAATTTTCCACGATAATAGAGTCTCGATAACGCGTTTTCGATTTTTTTTCTTCCACCCAACAACGTCTTTGCTCCGCTCTGGGCCTTTTGTTTGCCCTGTTAATTCGTAAATGAGACAAATGTATCGAACAAACGAGGACATTGTTCCCCAGCTGGGGAAACATTCCTAGATCTATCGCATGCAGAAACTTGTGTGCCGAGAGATAAGGATAAGAATTTGAGGAAAAGAAAAGGGATCAAGGATGATTTCACCGCGGAATATTTTGTCTCTCCATCGTGTGGAATATTTCCTTGCTCTCGTTCCATCATCTCTTGTAATTTATTGCCATTCATATCCCCGATTCCACAAATTTAATATCATCGAATCGTTAACCAATTTATTTAGATCTGCATCTGGGTTAACATCTCAAGGTCCCGCTATTTCGTCTTTGATCCAGAAAAAGAAAATGTGTCACAGTATATACGATCTCTAATATAACATCGTATAAACTTTCTCGTCTTTCAACTATATCATAACTATATCAACTAA